AAGAGATTTACCGATAATGTAGTGCGATCTTTTGCCTTTGATTTCCATGGGAAAACGGCATGATTTTTTTTTTAAATCAAGAAATTATTTGTTTTCGAAAGATAAATTATTCTTCAATGCTCAGTTTAACACTTTTACGGTGATAAAAGCTCATTGTCTAAAACTTACGAAACACAGACGTATTCAGAAAGAGTATTGACAGAGGTCGCCGCCAGAACAAAAGCAGTTTCATTGCCTGTCTGACATCTTATCACCGCTGAACAATAAATAGGTGTGAATATTTTTAGGCATGTTGTCGAAACAAATGAATAGGATTTAGGAACAATGCCGTTTTGGAACAGCTGGTTGAAACAATGAAGTCAGTCACGGTCTTGTTGAATTGGGGGTGCGGTTAGTAATAGGTACTTTTCAAGTTTTCAATTTTTGTTAAGAACTCTTTAACCCCGAAGCCGGAATTGGGGGTGCGGTTACTATTACGTATGCGGTTTATATTAGGACTTTAACGGGGTATATGCAAATTGGATTTGATATGGTCTCAAGAAAAAACAATACTTTTAGAAGTCCTATTTAAAATGAGTGAGTCTATAAAAGAAATGATTCATGTTCACCTCAGACTATATTTATTTTGCATTTTTTAAAGCAGCAATAATCTCATTCATTTTTGTTTATGCAGTAAAACACTTCCAAGCACTCACTGCATTCTGTGATGCAATTGGTTAGAACTAGGGTTAACTGATATACGTGGGATGGTTGAACACTCTAAAACACTTGTGAGAGGTTCCCTTTTTGTGAGGTTTTCATCGCATATCGCATATCACTATGATTATGAAAGTTACATACATGTATATCCTTATTTTATAAATTCTAGATATAAGATATAACAGGCTTTGACAACAGACAGCCCTGTTCTATATTTAATGCCATATTCCACAAATTAGCAGCAATGAAGGGATGTGCATGGGAGTACATTTGGTTAAATAGTGCTGTGATGTAATCAGAAGTTGCTGGCAAGTTATTAGTAGAGAAATGCGCTAAGCATATTTGGTTGAATCACTAAAAAATATATTGTGCAACCAAAATTCAGTATGTAGAACCAATGTACTGACTTTTAATGTATTATCATAGTGTATATCGAGGAGTCCTGTTCGTCTGGGAAAAATGATTTTGAACTTCTTTACAGCCAGTGATTTTAGGATTGACCATCAATTTGACAAATTCGATCGAGTCACATAATAACACAATGTCCAGTATTACCTATTATTATTATATCTGTCAATGTAACGCCATAAGTTACAGCGTGCCGTAATTTTGTGGTATTTTACAGGGTATTTTCATCCTACCATACAAGGAAATGTAAATTCCAAATATGGAATGATTACGCATGTAAGCGTCCTCCAATAATAAAAACAAACATGGCTACCACCACGTTTTGACCGGACTCCACACAAAGAAGATTC